GTGCCTTCTGGGGTTTGATTGGCGCTCCACCCATGTGTAAAAGTTCATTCCTTGTTATAATATTCATCTCAAGTAGTGACAAGATTGGGAACAAATGAAGCTCGGTCATACTTTTTGCATCGGTCACTCCTAAAATTTGGTAACAGTAAATGTTTAAATGTACTTTGCGCAGAAAACTAACAGGCAGAGATCTGAGTGAAGACAAGATTGGTCAAGGCTGGATGACGGTCATTAATAGTGAACGTCTACTACAAATAAGCAAATCAGCAAAGGGGTGTAAGGTAGACCGAATCCTTGAGCCAGAAAAAATACTTCTCAGGAAGTTCCGCTAGGAAGTGCTGGCATTAGATGCACGGCCTTTCATTGCCTCGGGAAGGCGTCAGCCATAGATTTCCATCTTCCTGGCTTGGAACCATATAGTTGGTATTTGAGCTCTTGGCTCACACCCAAACTAGGAAACCTATAAAAGCCGGGTTTTCTCAAAGTATATGTTTTATGCTGAGAGCTGATAGATATGAAATGAACAATATAAGCTGTCATAGAGTCTCATCACTCAACTTTTTAATGTCATGATGTTGAAGACTGTTTTCCAGAAATGTCAGTAAAATGTCTCCCACGTGCAGTTTTTAACCTAGTGATTTTGATACTCCTCCCCTTGAGAGTTATATCTACTTCACAGGTTAAGTCATTTTTTCCAGCAATTTCTATGTGGAAGCTGTAACTCCCAGTACTTCAGTGTGTGATCTTCTTAGGAGGGGAATAGACTCCCTTTGGTTTGTTTGTTTTTTTTTGACACAGGGGGTCTTTCTTCATAGCCCTGGCTGTCTTGGAACTGCTTCTGCCTCAAAAGCACTGGGATCAAAGGCATGTGCCACCAGAAGAGGGTGACAGATCTGATTATGGATAGTTGTGTGGCACCATGTGGTTGCTGAGACTTGAACTCAGGATCTCTGGAAGAACAGCCAGTGCTCTTAACCGCTGAGCCATCTCTACAGCCCCCAGAAAATAGGATCTTAAAGAGGGTCTTTATGGAGGTAATGCAGTTAGAGTTAAATCACTGGGTTTGGGAGTCATGATAAAAAACGGAGGCTTGAACAAAGAGATAGACAGAGGAAAGGTGTGTGGTGACATATTGTATACCCTAATAAACTTGCCTGAGGACCAGAGAACAGAGCCAGCCACTAGATTAGACATAGAGCCAGCCTGGCAGTGGTGACACACACCTTTAATCTTAGCGCTTGAGATCTCATGCCTTTGCTTGGGAAGCACACATGCCTTTAATCCAAGGAAGTGATGTCTGGGCAGAGAATGGTATATAAAGCATGAGGAAACAGGAACTCACTTTCTTTAGGCTCAGGATTTTGTAGAGGTAAGAACTAGTGGCTGGCTGTTCTGCTTCTCTGATCTCTCAGCTTTCACCCTGATATCTGGCTCTCGTTTTTTTTTTTTTTTTTTTTTTTTTTTTTTTTTTTTAATTAAAAGATCACCTAAGACTCGAACAACAAAGGTGATGTTCCCAGACACAGAGAGCAAACAACCACTCACGAACCAAGGAGAGGGGTCTGAATCAGAGGCTTCTCCCATGGCCCAGAAGAAGCCGATCCTGCTGATGCCAGTTCAGTGAGACGTTATCTTCCTGCTGCTCTGCTTCCTAGTCTGTGCTAGTTTTTCCAACAGCACTAACTCTCCTATGTTCTGGAAGGCTTCTACAAATGTGGAAGTGGCATTGTGTGGCTTCCAGGGCTAGACCATAAAAAGTAACAGGGCTCCCACTGATTGCATTGAGAGACCAGGCTTCCAGGAAGCCCAAGCCACTTGCAAAGGCCACATTGTGGTGCACGACCAGTCACCCCAGCTGACAGCCAGTATCAACTGCTAGAGATGTGAGCCAAGACAACCACAGATGGTTCCTGTTCCTGCTGTGGGTCAGCTTAGCCTCTGAACCCTCCTAAAGTCTAATTTTCATGTTGTCAATTACTAGTACCTAAAGTATTTATTAACAAGATAGAAACATTTCTAGTGTGCTTATTTTTGAAGTAGCATTTTTTTTTTTAATTTTTGAAAATCCACTTGTAGGAATTACTTTTATTAAAACTCTACTGATCATATGAGGCTAGAACACTGGCTCAGTGTTTAAGAGAGTTTCTTGCTCCTGCAGAACACTCACACTGGGTGGCTCACAACTGCCTGTCACTCCAGCTTTAGAGGATCTAACACCTCTTCTGGCTTCTACAGGCACTCACATGTGTGTGTACACACATGCATGCCTGCACCCATACATGAATAAAAATTAAAACAATACAAATCTGCTTTATAACTATTTCATTAAATGCTGTCGATCATAGTTTCCCCCTTTGTAAATTTTGTGTAGCAAAGTCTTTTCTTACTGTTCTTGATGAGTTTTTCCAGTCTCTGAAAAGTAAAGATCTTTCATATTCCAAGATCGAGTAAGTAGTTCCTGTGGTGTTTGAATGCAGAATGTCCTCCACAGCCTCGGGCATTTGGACACTTGGTCCCCAGTTGATGCCCTGTTCAGGGAGGTTTAGGTGATGAGGTCTTGATGGAGGAAGTGTATCAGAGGGGGTGGGTTTGGAGAACCAAAAAGCCACATCTACTTCATTTGCTCTTTCTGCTTAGTGCTTGCCATTCAAAACTTGAGCACTTAGCTTCCCGTTCCTGCCACCATGCCTGACACTTGTCACCATGTCCTGCAGGCCACCATCATGGATTCTTGTCCTTCTGGAGCCATAAGGCAAATTAGATTTTCTTGGTCATAGAATTTTATCACAACAGAAAGGTAACCAATGTAGCTCCTATATAGTTTTCCATGATGAATGGCTTCATTATTGAACATGCTTTCAACTAAAACATTGCAGATGGACATGAGAAGAGGAGAAAGCTCTCACATTTAAAAAATTCCCCCTGTGGTAGTTTGAATAAGAGTGGCCTCCATAGGCTCATGTATTTGAATGCTTGATCCAAAATTGGTGGAACTGTTTGGGAAGGATCAGGAGGTGTGACCTTTTTGGATGTGTGTCTCTTCAGATGGGCTTTGGGGTTTCAAAAGGTCTCTCTCTCTCTCTCTCTCTCTCTCTCTCTCTCTCTCTCTCTCTCTCTCTCTCTGCCTCTATTTTGGAGATAAGATGTAACCTCTCAGCTACTGCTTCAGCACCATATCTGCCTGCCACCATGCTTTGCACCATGAGGGTCATGGACTAACCCTCTGAAACTGTAAGCAAAATTCCAATTAAAGGCTTTCTTCTATAAGACTTGCCTTTGTCTTGGTGTCTCTTCACAGCAATGGAACAGTAACTAAGATATTCCCCAATTAAGATAGTTTCCCCTCTCCTCCCCACTTCTTTTTTTTTTTTTAAGATTTTTTTTATTGTGCACTGTTTTTTTGCCATGGTATTGGGTCCTGTTGTGGGATATCGTACACTGTACACTGTGTGAAGGTGTATTGCTGTGATTGTGGTAATAAAAAGCTGAACAACCAATAGCTAGGCAGGATTTCTGGGGAGAGAAAGGAAGAGGAGGAGGAATCTAGGCATGTGGGAGAAGCTAGGAGACACAGAGAGGAAACAGGAGGTGCAAGATGGAAGAGAGGTAATGCCATGCGATAGAATGTAGATTAATATAAATGGGTTGATTTAAATTATGATAGCCAGTTAGGAATGAGTCTAAGCTATAGGCTGAGCTTTCATAATTACTAAGAAGTCTCTGTGTCATTATTTGGGAGCTGGCTGGCAAGACAGAGAAAGACTCATCACAGGGTCCCCTGGAGCTGGAGTTACAGACAGTTGTGAACTGCCATGTGGGGTCTCTGAAAGAACAGTCAGTGCTCTTAACCAGGCTCCCCCTCCCCACTTCCAAAGGATCACTGGTTTTGTTCATCTGGCATTTATTTTGGCATATGGACTAAGCTCATTTTTGTGCCTCATAAAAGCAGATCAACTGTCCCATGCCAGCTGTTGAATAATTTCTGCCTTTCGATCTAATCTGTGATGCCACCATGAAGTTATATACTGAGCTGCCCATCATCACAAAGCATGGCCTATTTCTAGACTGTACAGTTTGTACACAACTTTATTTTTAGATGGGGTTCCCCATAGTATCTGATAAAGGAGTTCCACACTCAATCATTCTTTTTCAAAACTTTCGTAGTTATCCTCACAGGATTATTGTCCACATAATCTCTGAATACAGTCTTTCAAGATATTATGATTGTTATTATAATACTATTAAACTCATGAACATATCTAAGAAGTATCTATACCTGTTAATAGTTATTATGCCCATCTAACTGATTATCATTGTGGTTTGCAAGTGTCATTTTTTTTTTTTTTTTTTGGTTTTTCAAGACAGGGTTTCTCTGCATAGCTTTGCGCCTTTCCTGGAGCTCACTTGGTAGCCCAGGCTGGCCTCGAACTCACAGAGATCCGCCTGCCTCTGCCTCCCGAGTGCTGGGATTAAAGGCGTGCGCCACCACCGCCCAGCTGCAAGTGTCATTTATCTGTATTTGTTTCATACCAGCAAAGCCTAAGACACAGCATGCCAGGAAATATACTCACTTCATAGTCCCTTATTAATTGCATGTGGATACAGAGGTGGTTAATATATATATCTTTTATGAACAGGTCACCTTTACTCCACATCAAAACACCATTGGGAATTAGATGTAGAGAAAAGTGAGAGTAATTTCAAAGGCACAGCGTTTGGTAAGTTGTTCTATGTATGCACCCAAGCAGTTCTCATGAGTCCTGGTGATAAACATACTCCTCAGTTCCAAACTTCCTGAGGGTCCCACACAATTTAGCAGTCCATTCCCCAGCACTACCATTTCCAGGCAACTGATAACCTACTTTCATGCTAGTTTGCTTTTTCTCGAAATTTATCATGGATTTTAAAAAATAGACTACTGTCTTAGTTAATTTTCTATTGCTGTGAAGAGATACCATGACCAAGGCAACTTATAGAAGAAAGAGTTTCTAGGGACTTACAGTTTATTGGGATTAGAGTCCATCAACGTCATGGTGGGGAGCATGGCAGCAGCAGGCAGGCATGGTGCTGGAGCGGTAGCTGAGAGCTCACATCCTGAAGTTCAAATAAGAGGCAGAGAGATAATCAGGACTGTCATGGGCTTTTGAAACCTCAAAGACACTCCCCCAGAGACAAAGCTCCTCCAACAAGGCCACACCTTCTTTTCCTTCCCAAACAGTTTTACCAACTGGACCAAGTATTCAAATATATGAGCCTGTGGGAGGCCATTATTATTCAAACCAAAATCTTCGACTCACTGGCCCCCTTAGGCTTGTAGCCATATCATAACACAAAATATACTCGGTCCAAATTCAAAAGTCCTCATAGGCTTTCACAGTCTCAATACTGTTTCAAAGTCCAGTCTCTTCTGAGACTCAAAGCAATTGCTCAATAGTAAACCCCTGCAAAAACAAAAATCACATTACATACTTCCAACATACAATGGTAGAGAACAAACATGACCATTTTAAAAGGAAGGGGCATAGTGAGGAAATACTGGACCAAAGCAAGACTGAAACCCAGCAGGTTAAACTCCAAATTCTCTAACTCCATGCCTGGTGTCATAGGGCTTAAATGGCTCTTCCCTTCTAGCCATGTTGCCTACAGCATACTTCCCTCTCTCTCAAGTGGGCTCTACTCCCTGTCTGCAGCTCTCCTGGGCAGATATCCCACAGCTCTGTCATCTCCAACATCTTGGGGTCTCTGATGCAATCCCTGCTCCACTCAATGGCCGTTCCAGAGACTCCCCTGCCACACTGTTGGCCTCCATGGCTCTGGGGACCAAACATTCAAATATATGAGCCTATGGGGGCCATTCCCATTCAAACTGCCACAGTATTCATCTTTGTCTGGCTTCTTTCACTGGGCAAAATAATTCTGAGATCCATTCAGATTGTGACATGTGTTGTAGGGCATTCCCTTTTGTTGCCAGGTAGCAGTTTCCCCAGTGTAGAAACACGCTGGAGTTTATCCATTCCTTTAAGATAGCTCTTTGTTGTTATTTTTGTTTGATGTGGGGCTTGTTTTAGTTTATTTTCCTGTTGCTGTGATGAACTATGCTGAGAGAAACAACTTCAGGGAGCAAGGGATCATTTTGGTTCACAGTCCAAGTGTAGAGTCTGGTATGATAGACGAATCAAGGCACAGGAGCTGGAAGCATCTGGCCACACCACCCCACAGTCAGAAGAAGAGAGCGATGAAGGCATGCCACTGCTCTGCTTGCTTTCTGCGTCCTACACAGTTCAGGATCCCCTGTCTAGGGAATGGTGCCACCCACCGTTGTCGGAGTCCCACCTCACTTAGGTTATCAAGGTAAGCCCCACAGAGATGCCCAAATGCCTATCTCCCCCAAGTGATTACAACTTCTGTTCAGTTGAACTAACACTAAACACACCATCACAGGGCTGGTAATGATAAAGGCAGGGAGAGCATTTAGACACACATTTTTGAATATGCTTATATTTCTTTCTCTTAGGTAAATAGCCAAGAGAAGAAGGATTGGATTACACAGTATCTAATTAACATGTTTTTAATTGCCAAAGTTATTGTTAAAGTGATTATATCATTTTACTCTTCCATCATGTCTTAAGGTGTCTATTGCTGCAAAGAGACACCATGACCATGACAACTCTTATAAAGAAAAACATTGAATTGAGGCTGGCTTACAGTTTCAGAGGTTCAGTCTGTTATCTTTATGGCAGTGTGCAGGCAGACACGGTGCTGGAAAAGGAGCTGAGAGTTCTACATCTTGATCTGCTGGGCACAGGATGTGAACTGTCACACTGGGTGTGGCTTGAGCATATATGAGTGCTGTGGGATGTTCTGTTTGTCCTGTGGGAGCCCTTCTTGGGTTCTTTGTGGCGTTACCCAGCAGGTCCGTATAGAGGATGATTAGGACCATGGGCCTGAGTGCAGGTGTTTGAGATGGTCTGCACTTGGCTGTGCTGGGGGATGGTCTGTATGTCAAGTTGCTCTGACTGGTTAATAAATAAAACCTGATCGGCTGTGGCTAGGCAGGAAAGATAGGCGGGACTAACAGAGAGGAGAAATAAAAGGACAGAAAGGCAGAAGGAGACGCTGCAGCCGCTGCCATGACCAGCAACATGTGAAGACGCCAGTAAGCCACCAGCCACATGGCAAGGTATAGATGTATGGAAATGGATCAATTTAAGATAAAAGCACAGTTA